CACACTCTGGTAATGATGCGTAGAGCGGGAACTCATGCCTGTGCCATTCAGTAGTATTTAGTAAATTGAACTTTTGTATAAAGGTCTTAGAAAATGGCAAGGCAGAAAATGAATGTCTTCTTGCTGCTAATTTTAACTTCCACTGCACACGCCTTTCTGGAGATGAAAGCTTTATGAATCTATTCACTACTGAAAGTTATTTCAACTTTAGTAGCACATATCAGGATGCAGAAAAGCAAGTACACGTTCACAGCTGTTCCTCGGGTCTCTTTGCTGGAAATACAACCTGCTAAGCTGCTAGATTTCCGCTTAAAATAATGCGAAATAAGCGAAAAATAATGAAATAAAACAATTAACTGGTGAATCCTCATTAAATACAAATACTGAAATAAATAGTGCAGCTAGGAAATTGACTGCATATGTAGACTAGCTGTAGATAATTGACATGACCTTCATTTAACGAGCCTCCTTCCCATTAGTGGAGATGACCGCCACAATTATGTGCCCTTATTCTAGCTGTAATTGTATGGACTTTATTGAAGTACAAACTAGGTCACGTCTTCCTGAGACCTGGTCCATGGTGGCTGACCTCTTTTCATTGCTTCAGCTTTGCTATGCTGCATGAGAGAAGGAAGGATGTTCTTGCAGCCATGAGAATGGATGTCGGTCAGGAAGCCACTCTCAAACGTTGTTTCTGACAGACATCTTGTGTGACCTGAGGGAGTAGCTTAAGGCTAGGTCTCAAGGAGGCTAGCATACATCTATTTTAAATAGCTTAGATCTATTTTATACCAGTTAGTAGGTGTATGCAGGATTCTATGGGATGGCAGTTGAATGAAGATTCTCTCTCCTAGAGAAGTCTCTGATCTTTTATGCCCCGTGACGTAGCTGGTCGGGAGGAGTGCAAAAGAGCTGCAGCCTTTAGCTGTTGTCCTAGGAGGTAGGGACCGGAGACCTGAACCTTCTACAGCTGAGAAGAGAGGGGATGGGTGCGTGAAAGGACTACAGAGTGAGGCTGTATCAGCAGTGATTTTATTTTGTATTTTTCTAGCTGTATGTCTAACTAGAAGTGGCCGCGGCTACTCTGTTTTGTTTGGCATTCAGTTGTATTGATGCCCTCAGAACACGCGGTTTCGACCAGGTTGCTCCAGTCAAGAAATGCTCAGCAGGGATGAGCCTGTGTGGGAAATAGTTGCTCAGTCTACCCGGGTGGCATCAGGCATGGGTGCACGCAGAAATGCCGGGGCGTCTCCGTGCCAGGCCTCGTAGTGGTGGATGTGCCCAGCCAGGAAAGGGGCAGTACCTTGCTCAGGAGTAGCATGCTGGTAAACCAGGCAAACACAGCCTTCCCCCACGCTCCCACCCCGGTTCAGCTTCGGCGCGGGGTGACACGGCGATTTCCTCATAATCAGAAGGGCACGCGTAATCTGTTGGTGTTTGGCGTTTACAAGGCTCTTGTAACAAGACGGGCAGTATCTTTCATCTTTGCGACGTAATGAAAGTTCGATAGTTGGGGAGCAGAAAAGGGACTGGAAGCTGCCATCCAAAGGGTTTCCAGTGACCTCTTTGGTGCTGCATTGGGGTATTAGTCCTGCCTCACTAAGTGGGAGGTGAACTGTGCGTTCATGAGTCAGTTCAAAAGTAGCTGAAAGGTTGTGTGTTTTTACCCATGGAGTGAGATTTGAATCTTACTCTGCTATAGCATATTAAGCTAGTAGGGTGTGAGCAGCTGCTACTAGAAATCGCTATGGCCTCTAAAATAAAGAGATTTCCTAGGTGTTAAAATATTACTTCCTCGTATTAAATCACTTGATATCATTTTGCTGCCAAAGACAAGGACTGTGTATATTGCTCAAGTCACTGTCAAGATAGGGAGAAGAATCTTGACACATCCCGCTTGCACAGTTTAGCTTTGTCTGGGACTCATTTGCAAAGAAGTAGATGTTTAATCTGTGTTTGCTTCCTCTCAATGTTCCATGTGTCTGTGCTGCTAAAGGTTACTTTGACATATTCTTCTACTGTTACAAATGTGGGGAAGAGGGGTGGCTTTTAGGGGGACACATTTTCTTGTCTGTTATCAGTATGTTATGTGGATAAATGGCTGTCTTAAAGCTGTTGGTTTTCAGAGCCTAGTCGTACACTGTTTCTTGCTGCCCCAGATAATAGCGGCAGTTGTGTGTCATCGGATGGGATGTAAATTGATCAAGCTTGACAGCAGTTTCCTTCCTAAATGGAAGGCCAGATTTATTAAGGAAGGATTAATTTAACGTGAGATATGAAGTACTGTTAGATTGATCTGGTGACCCACCAGCCATTGGTGGAGGATGCTGAGGGCTTATTGAAGTCAACTGGTGAGGTTTCTCTGCACATCTCTGTCCTCTTGCCATTTTCCTTGTAGGAAAATGTCCATACAACCGAAGCTGCACAGCCACTGTTCTATTCATTTCACATCCCTCCAAGCTCATTGCTACCATGAGGGGTAAACAACCCAATAGCAAAAGTGAAGGATGTGGTCTGGTCCAGGAATCCTTCTATCCTTTGTTCACCTTTCTAACTTGAAAAACCAACGTTCAGCCTCCACCTGGTGTACTTAACTGATAGGTGCAAACTTCTTTCATTTGTGCTTGTCTTGGTGCCTCTTGTGTTGCGTCCTCTCTCTTTTGCACTGGAAGGTCCTTTGGGGCACTACGTGCTCAGACAGAGTCTGTCCTCCAGAGTCGAGATGTTGGCTGGGACCTCTGGGCACTACTCTAACAAAAATAACAGGAACTTGATTAGGAGCCAGAAGATCTGTGTTCTGTTCACTGCTCTGGTGGTCACAAAGTGTGATGTGGGTGTTTGGTGTTTTTTTTTTTCCTTTTAAGTTTTATATAAAACAATTCTCAGAACAGGGAATGTATGAATATTATTGGTTTTGTTGCCTGTTCTGCTGGCTCTGCATTTGTATGCTAGCTGAACCACCCCTTCTCCCTCTTGTCTTGTCTCCTTGTTTGATAAAAGAAGACTGATAACCTTCTTCCTTGTGTTGTAAGTCATCTCTGTAATGTCTCTCTTCCTCCCCTTTGAGGAAGAAATCTGATATTACTCCTTGTAGAATGTTTTAAAAATCCTAGGATGAAAAAGTGTGCAAAATATTCATGTTATGCATGGTTAGAGCAAACACTATGTTCCTGTGAGTCACAGATGTCGGGTTTGTTTAATCTTAATAAATCTATGCCACAATAACACTTTTAAATGGGAAGAGGGATGGAGGGATGAAGGAAGAGTTGTGTTGGGCTAGAGAAGATTCTTAGCCAAAGTCTTGTTTAGTGAGGAGCTGGGGGCAAAGGGGTATGGACACAAACCCAGACGCTTCCCACCCTCCCCCCCTTCATTAAGTAAACTTTGAGACCTGTATTTTGGGCACTGCCTTTCTAGTACATCTTTCATTTTTCTTTGTATGTTTTATGATAGATTGTCTTTCCATGTTCGAGTCTTAAGAGTACTAGTTTCCCACAGCATATTTGCAGAAGATGAAGTAAGGCTTTTTACATAGCACCCTGTTGGCAAACAGAAATAGCATTTACTCCAGTGAGCGCTGCCAAGTATGAGGTACTTCCGAATGAACTTCAAAAGCTCTGAAACAAGCATTAGCTGCTTCTTCAGAAATGTGAACAATGCCATTGCTTTCTAGCAAGCAGAACTGACGAGAGCAGGGATCGGAAGGAGGAGAAATAACAACTGGATGTGATGGATGTTGTAGTAGCACTTGGGATCAGACAGAAAGTATAGCGCTCTGTCACTGCCGGATTCGGGGGGTTCTTGTTGTAATAGGACCTAAAGTGTGTACTCTGCACTTGAGGAGGAAACCATTTCTACCCGGAGGAGCGTACAACCTACGGAGACGTAGCGAAGTGCTTGGGGAGGAGCGGTCATATGAGCCCAGGCTGTTGAGAGGGCTGATAGGAGCGAGTCGTGCTGATTCCAAAGCCGGTGAGGAGTTTTCTTACTGGCGCTCTTTGCTGGTGCTACCCCTCCACGCTCAACGAGGGCAGCGCCAAGCGTACACATACGCCTCAAAGCATGGCCCATAACGCGCGCCAGGACTTGGGGCAGAACGTGAGAGAAACAGGCCAACCGCTGTGTTGCGATATGGCGGTAGGGCCGGTTGTGCTGGTTTTCACGCTGAGCTCTGGGCTTTAAGTGAGTTTGAATAGGAGCTTTGCCCCCTTGAGAACAGGCGGTACGGGGCTCTGGGAGGGTGCGGTGCAGTGGTTCTGGTACTGTCGTTTCAGCGTGGCTCTTTATCGGCTCTGTAATCCAGCGAGTCCCTTCCATGGCGTTCACATGATGCAAGCAATCTTTCCAGCTCAAATTTAGTATGGTAGCAAGCGAACTGTCCTGGACCATTTTCTTGTTCTATATTTATGCCTACATACCTTCTACTTTTAGATGAGGATTGACCTGCTGAGACCTCAGAATTTGCATGGCCCCTTCCAGTGCTTTGAAGGTTGTATTTCAGAATACAAATGCAATTTATCCTGGTGCTGTTCAGTTTCTTGTGGATAGAATGATGAAATATTTTAGGCATAGAGAGATCCTAAAAATCAAATATTTGCATTTGCATTTGAAATGGAAGTCTTGCCTTTCACATTTGCGAAGCCACCTTTTACTGATGAAATGTTGCATTCCTAACTAGCAGATCTGCTTTTGCTGTTACTTGAAATAGGTGTAATCAGTCAATAAATGAGGAGTCCGCATAGTATCTAATCTAATACTATGGAAAGACTTTGGCCTGCAAGAACTGACTTGCTAGTGTCAGTGTTGCCTAAGCTTTGGCATATGCTTTATCTGAAACTCTAAATCAAAGAGCACCTTTATCCCCAGTAATGAGTTGTGGCTGCATGCAGGAGGTCTCTGCAGAAAATGCATAATGTCTCATGGAAACTCAGGTGAATTTTTATTACTCTGTGCCTTCTAAGTTAAATCCTTTTTTTTTTTTCTTGCTCTTGTCCTTAACAGTTCCACCAAGTGAGAAGAGTGATGACCATCCTTTTCCTTACTATGGTTATCTCATACTTCAGTTGCATGAAAGCTGCCCCGATGAAAGAAGCTAGTGTAAGAGGACAAGGCAGCTTGGCTTACCCAGGTCTTCGGACCCACGGGACTCTTGAGAGCCTAAACGGGCCCAGTGCTGGTTCAAGAGGACTGACATCGCTGGCGGACACTTTTGAACATGTCATAGAGGAGCTTCTAGATGAGGACCAGGACATCCAGCCCAGCGAGGAAAACAAGGATGCAGACTTGTACACATCCCGAGTCATGCTAAGCAGTCAAGTGCCTTTGGAACCCCCACTGCTCTTTCTGCTCGAGGAGTACAAAAACTACTTGGATGCTGCAAACATGTCCATGAGGGTCCGGCGCCACTCTGACCCAGCACGCCGCGGGGAACTGAGCGTATGTGACAGCACGAGCGAGTGGGTGACAGCGGCAGAGAAAAAGACTGCAGTGGACATGTCCGGGGCGACTGTCACCGTCCTGGAAAAAGTCCCGGTACCCAAAGGCCAACTGAAGCAATACTTCTACGAGACCAAATGCAACCCCAAGGGGTACACGAAGGAGGGCTGCAGGGGCATAGACAAGAGGCACTGGAACTCCCAGTGCCGAACTACCCAGTCTTACGTGAGAGCTCTCACCATGGATAATAAAAAGAGAGTTGGCTGGCGCTTTATAAGGATAGACACTTCCTGTGTATGTACATTAACCATTAAAAGGGGAAGATAGTGGATTCGTGTTGTATAGATTATATTGAAACAAAATTATCTATTTGTATATATACATAACAGGGTAAATTATTCAGTAAAAAATAATTTTATGGACTGCATGTATAACTGAAGTTTATACAGTACAGTGGTTCCACAATCTATTTATTGAACATATCCATGACCTGAAGGGGAACAAGTCATTTGCGCACAAGTTTAAAAAAAAAAAAAAAAAAGAAAAAAAAAGAAAAACAAGCAAACAAAAAGTCTGCATTACATTCCTCGATAACATTGTGGTTTGTCGCCGTTGCCAAGAATTGAAAATATAAAAAGTTTAAAAAAAAAAAAGAATAAAATTGCATGCTGCTTCAATTGTGAATTGATGATAAACTGTCCTCTTTCAGAAAAATAAATTGAACCAAAACATTCCGTTTACATTTTAGACAGTAAGTATCTTTATTCCTGTTAGTATTATATCTGTTTACTGCTTTTAACTTCTGATAGCGTTGGAATTAAAACAATGTCAAGGTGCTGTTGTCATAGTTTTACTGTTTCTCTTTTACTTTTTAACTCCCATCAGATTGAAAAAAAAAAAATCATTACCTTATTCTGGATTAAAAACAAATTTGTTTTTTTGTATATTGTGAAGGTGTTTGCAATAGCAATCCAACTACTGACAAAATAATAATAATAAAAAAGAGGCAACTGAAAAAGAATGGTGATGTTCCACTTCACATTGTTAAACTTCAGGCTTAAAGACAGCACTTATTTAACTGTATGGCAACATGCTTTTTTGGGTTATTTTTTTTTTTTCTTTGCTGTCTTTGGAGCTCTGCATTTGCTTATACCATGTTTGTTTGTGTTTGTTTCCCCCTCCTCCCCCTTTCCTCCCTCTGGAAGGATGTTGGTTGTGATCTTTAAAGTGTTTCACTTCCATACAACTGGAGCTTGTCATACCGAAAATATTCTATAGAGTGTTGAGAGTAATGATTTTCATGTAATAAAAGACTCTGTGCTTGGATCAAATGTCTTGCTGAAACGCAAGAAGAATGTCACTAGAAAAAGGGTCTAGAAAGATGAGAGGGGGTCTGAAATCAGGCTGGTCACGGGACGGGGTAGCTCGGCCAATTCAAGGACAAGTAAGAGTGTTTTGGGTTGACTGAGGCCATCCAAACCACAGTCAGCACGGAGCGAGGTCCATGGCTGCAGGTGGCGGAGCCTCCCGCTGCGGAGCACGTCTGGCGGAGCGTGGTGGCATCCCTGCCCCGGGGAGCCCTGCGGAGCTGCCTCTAGGCGAGCGCGCTTGGCTTTTGTGTTGTGTGGCTCTGCCTCTGCTGGCGGCCTCCTTTTATGAATCAAATATTGGCATAAAAAAAAAAAATACTCTTGAAGTAAGTGAAGAGTTGGCTTAACGTTCTTAGGTGCTGATAGACGTGTTTAGCCCTGCGCTACCCCTCTAACTGTCCTGACAGACGTATTTCTAGGAAGGCAGGGTGTGAGCCCGAGAGCTGTGCCGAGCGCTTGCACCGACTGCAGCGGGCACAGAGAGGCAGAAATAGCTCATTAGTGAGCTCGCTGAAGGCAGGTGCTATATTTGCAATTCCTCTAGATGAAGAAGAGTAGCTGAACACAGGGAAATACTGCAAAATATAACTACTGAATGCTGCAGAATCTGCTTTAGTCTGCCTTGCCGTTGAAGTTAATTAAAAATCTGGACTGGCAAAGCTTATTTGAAATACGATTCCCCACAGCACTTCTCTTTGAAGAGCATTTTTAACGCTGAGTTTATCTCATTACTAGTAGAAACCCATGCGGGAAGCTACCAGAGACACCTTCAAAATCAGCGATTCCTTCTACTTCGGGTAGAAGGGCTCCCCTTTCCCTAGGATAACAGATAACTCCCGTCAAAGGAGAACCACCCCAACTGTGCAACGAAAACCCGTTGCATTGGCCACGTGCACGCTGGACCGTGAGAAGAGAGGGTTGTGTGACACACCTGAACTTCCAACTTTAGCCTTCCCAATCTATTGCAGGTATTCAGGCTCCCACAGAGAAATCAGAAATGAAAAAAAAAAAAAAAAAATTTCACCTAATGAAATGTCTCAAAACTTCAACTGAAGGGTTCTTCATGCAAATGAAATGTTGGTATAATGGAGAATTTCATTCCGCTGTGGCCAGTACCTGTATGCGTATTATAATTCTTTGCATTTAATAACCCAAACACGGCTCAGGAGCTATTCTCAGCAATATTCCTAAACTACAGCAGAGAGATGCTGTAATGGTGGCTCCCCTCAAAACCAGAGCCGGTTGCTTAGGAAGGGGAAAGGATGATGCTAATGAGTGAATAACAAACCCATCACTCATCTAGCCTGGAAAAAAAAAATGACAGCTAGGGCATGGCAGTCGTCTAATTCAGATGCAGGAATAAAATAATTCCCGGTTCAAACGAAGTGAATTTCCAAAGGAGTAAATGATAAGGCATAAATCCGGCTAGAAATAAAGTTCCTCCTTGCCCAGAGGTAGCGGTGGCTATATCCCGGGCGCGGAAGCCCGCGCCT